GGGGGAGAGGGGAGGGGGCTGGGGAGCCCTCCTGGAGGGCGCTGGGATGCACGGAGCCGTGTTCCTCAACGGGCTCGGGCCTGTGTCGTGCTTGTCGCTGGCAGCTTGAACTGTGTGGAGTGGAGCCTCCTGCCCCCGGCAACCGAGGAGATGGTTGCTCAGGCCGCGCAGCTGCAGGGCCGTTTCCAGGGGGATCCTTCTTTTGAGTATGAGTACCCTGCAGAGGTAGATCCAGAACGTGCTGGAAACGTAGCTGAAGATGATGAGAAGGTAAATAAAGCAAGACATTGTTTAACTCTCTTGGTTACAGTTGTACCCCTCACAGTGGATAGGTGGTGGCTTCTCCTTCCTTGCAATAAGCAGCCTGAGGCTGTGCTGGGGCAGAATACACACCATTTCCTCTTTGCTGTCATTGTGTAGCAATGGCTTTTTGACTGAACTCTTCCTTCAGTGACTGAGCTCTTACTTCTGGAGTCAGACACAGCTCAGAAATATCCTTCACATTTTATTATGCACATCCTCACTGAATTATTATGCACTGAAGTATTATGCACACCCTGTCTGAAGCTCAACATAGGAACCTCAGGTATCATTCTTCATAACCTAGGAGAAAAGTCATAAGTAGCTTATTTGAGAGGGGACAGATGAAGGGAGGGACAGTTAATTCTCTGGTGAGTCTAGAGTAGTTGTCACATTCTAATGAGAAGAATATTCTATTTGTGGTCCTCTTTGTGCCAGCAGGCTCCAAGCTATTGAGTCAGTTGTGGTTTCTGTTGCCCCGTTGTTTATTTAAAAAAATGACAACAAGAAAAGCCCTGCCATTAACATTTGCCTGTTCTTCTGTAAAGCCCACAGTGAAGGAGGAGGCCCGTCTCGTAGCTACCATAGAACAGATAGACAGAGCAGTTGGTATCGTCCCCCGGGGGGCATTTGTGAAGACTCCTTTTGGGTCTGTGTGTGAAAACAGAAACTTTGAAGGTAAATTCTCCTTGTCTTTATCAGTATCAGCTGTACTTTGACCATAAAGGCTGTAAGTGAAGATGGGTTTTTCTCTAGCTGATGCTTTGATCTCAGGATTATTTTTGCCTTGGGTAGGATGAACAGGGAGGAGAGAATCCAATGCCACTCATGTTCAGGTGCATGATTCAACTGGGGAAGGTGGGAGGAAAGTCACTAATGGCTCTGAGTCATTGAACCTGCAGTTTCATTTGTCTTTTGTATAGTTTTTGTCAATGTTTAGCAATCATAGCTGCAGTGAATTCTCCATCTAGATATAGGGTGTAACCAAAAGGACACAGAGAGCTGGTCTCGACTCAGTGCCCTTTGCTTGCCCGGGACTGCAGTTTGCATGGTCTGCACTGCACAGCATCAGGGAGTCCTGCCACCCATTTCTGCCAACTCTCTGGTCTTCTGGGGAGTCCATGGGAGAGAAAAATTGTGGTTCTGTCCTCTGTCGTGGGTGTTAGAGGAACAATATGATGTTTGATAGTATAGTGTAGGTTTGCCCAGCTCGCTGTATTAACGGTACCAATGGCTGTTTGCAGGTCTTTCTTTCACAGAAGCAAAGAAGTTAAGTTCCTATTTCCATTTTGCTGAGCCTGTTAACCTGAAGAATAAAACCCTGCTGGAAAAGGCTGACTTGAACCCATCCACTGATTTTCTAGACTCTCTGGAGCACGATATCCCAGAAGGTAAAGGTAGCAGAATCAAGAGATGCAAGAGGACAGGCAGTCTGGGAAACGCTGAGGTGACAAGGTGGCAGTTACTGTGGAGTTGGTATGCTTGGGAGAAACTTGTGTGAATCTGTAAAGGAACTTTATCCTTTTCTAAGTATTGTACTTAATTTCTTTATTACAGAGATTATAAATGCTTACAGTGGTAAAATGTAAGGGTACCAGGGCTGTCACATCCTCACAATAGGTCTTCTGACCATACCAGCACCCCTGTGCCTGAGTGCCATATTCCCTCCTGACTTCTGTAACTCTGCCTGTGTCAGTGTTCCTGTCAGGAGAGATAACTCCATCAGTGATAGAGGGAATTTATGTGGTTTGAAGTGTTTCACACCTCTTGTCACAGCCCATATTGCTTTTCTTTATCTAAATGGGCTCTCATTAACACTGAGCTGATATCTCTGAGAGGCTGAATTCAAACTGTCCTTTGATAAACTGTGTTAGAAATGCTGCAGTGTGGAATAAGCCATGCTCTCGTGGTACTACACACTGTGGAAGGAGAAAGGAAGATGCACGTACTGGAATGTGTCTTCAGTTCACATCTCTACAGTTCTGCTCCATAACAGTTAAATAGACTTAAAGCCTCTTCCAGGGGTTCCTCTGGCAGGATATTTCTCAAAGGAGATGGGAATAACTTGTTATTTGTTTCTAACAGCTTTTTGCTGATTTACTGCGTTTTTTGGATCAGGCTAAGCATTTCCATGTTCTGCTGTCTAGAAAGATTCTTGGGACCCAATCAAAACTTAGGTTTGCTACTTTATTCCTATCCTGGAGTAGCAGGATAGGATAGTAGGCGTCCTGTGCCAGATGGAATTGGCTAGAAGGACAGTGAATTGCAGTGCTGTAAATAGCTTTTCAGACTATTTATATATATATCTCTTTATATATATATATCTCCCAATCTTTCCTTTGGCAAAAATGAACTGAGAATGAACCTAGTGAGCTCCTGCCTGAATTCTGAACATTTTTGACTGTTCAGAGCATAAGCAGTGATAAAATCTGAACCATCATTCAACTTACGGGGAGTGTCCTTGCTGCAGTCATTTTCCAGAGGTATAGTCTGGAGAGTCTGCACATTTTTAGATACACTGGCCCTTGGAGATGGCCCTTTTGACTCAAAAAGGAGTATTGCAAAAGGTGTTAGGTCCTACATATCTCCTAAGAAAATTGTAGCTACACTTTGTTATGATGTTTCAGGCATTGCTACTGTTTGCATGTTTCTTCCCTCTTTTTTCCTAGGGTTTGTGATAGGGAGACGTTACTTTTGTGAGACCTGAAACCACAGAACCACTGCAGCAGGACATAAATCTGCCATGCTTTCTATGTTTCCACTAGAAAACAGGCTCCAGGGGCTAAGAGCCTGAAGCCTAATTTGCATCACAGAGCTGGTTTTAGCCACCTTCAGCTGTGGTAGAGAATGGCACCTTTGAAAGATTACAGCTCTCATGCTTGAGTGTTTCTCATCTAGTTCACGGGACCAGGCAACTGGCAGATCGTGCTGTATGTTAGAACGTGAACATGGCAGTTTTGTGGAAGTCTTTAAATCAAATTGGACTTGCAGCTGTATTTTACCCAGTAGCAGATAGAAAGTGGAGCTCAGCTGTGCCACTGCCATGTTTGTCTCCCTCTGGCAACCTGAGGTCTGTGTAAGCATCAACCTTTGCCCCCTCCCCCTGTGGTTGTTGCTGTTAGTGGAGATCTCAGTTTCCTCCAAAAGGTTGCCTCTCAAAGACAACCTGAGCTCAAGTGCAGCTGAGTGATTCTTAATGGAAGAGGAGAAGATTCATCATGGTACCTGTGTGGCTCTGGCTGTATTGTCCTGCTCTTTTTTGGGCTGAACCTGGGGACTGGTGGAATGAGCTTGTCAGGCGAAGGAAATAAGACAGGAACTGGCTACAGGATCATCAAGGCATGTAGGCTCTCTAATTGCACTCTATCACATGCAGATAGGAGCTCTGACATTAAAGAAAGATCAACCCACCCCCCATTAACAAGCATTCAGCTTACCTAAAGTACTGGTTGCTTGTGAAAATGTGGAGGAAAAAAAGAACAGAGGGCAGACACAGGCTTTCTGCTGATTTTATCAGCATGGCTATGCCAAAGCAAGTCGCTCACTCCTGGTTGCAAGACATTCAAACTGGTTCTTGGATTAACTTCCTTCAACTCTGCCAGTGCATGTTGGCTCTGACCCAGAGCAGACAGTGCGTTTTCCTGGCATGTTGGTCATAGCTCATCCCCTCATTTTGACCTGAAGCTTTTCCTGTCTTTGCTGGCTAGATGCTCTTTTGAACAGTTATTGTCAGAGCAGATGCAGGAATTTTCAAATCTATTGTGTCTAGAATTGTGACTGAAACGAGAATTGTCTCAAGAAATACACAAAAAGTGGACACAGGGTGAGCATCATCTGAGTGATGTTCCCAGCCTGCATTGGCTAGAATTCCCCAACCATCTTAGAAGACCTAAAGGACAGGGCTGGGAGATTAAGGGCTGATTTTAACCTGATTAAAAGTAACAATTCTGTTGCAATAGTTTTCTTTATTAATTGGAAACTGAGCATCTGTGACGGCTGTCAAGGAGGTAACTGTCATAAAATGTATGCTGTGTCATTATAGGAGAGCAGGGCTGTCTTACAGAATGGAAAGTTGGAGGCAGAGAGAAGATTTTATATGACAGCTGAGAGGTGGGAAGAAAGGAATTGGAAACTGGGTCGAATAAAGGAAACAATGGTAAAAGCAGAGATTTTAGTGCAAGGTTGGGAAGCCTGGAGTTTTGTAACAAAACTGTCTGCCACCCTTATCTTTACCAGTGATATCTGTGGTGATTGCAGGTTCCAGATCTGTCAGTATGTCTATCTCCCAGGTTATCTGTGTGTTTTTAAGAGTTCAGAATATGTTGCTGCTCCTACCCTTAACCACACTGTGAGTTTGTTTTTTTTTTTTTTTTTTTTCTTGGTGTCTCAGCTTCCAAAGGCAAGAGACTGTAAGACTTAGGTTTAAGTAAAAAAATACATTTGTAGTGATTATAGAGAAAAATGAGAGAATGTGAACCCTGTCTCAAGAGCAAATTTAATTGGTTTATCTCCTTTCACATCTCCAGCTCTCTGAGCCAAACTAATGAATTTGAGTGGCCTGACTCATCATTTTTGAACACGGAGGAGCTGTGATACTGATCTTCTGACACCACAGTTTCAGATCATGTAATGCTTCATTCTGGTCCAAATGACCAGCTGGCCAGAATGTTGCATGCTGGGATCTGTAGGTTTTGCTGGCCATATGTCTGCATTAAAGATAAGCTTGTTTGCTCTAGTCTAAGCAGACAATCTGCTCGACTTTATGCACAATTAGATGTAGCCTTTCAGTTGCTGGCAGATTGCCAGCCTGGTCCTTTCTGCTGCACAGAGTTCAGCACCCTGGGCAATAGCATTCAGGAGCTAGAGTTGTGGCAGTTTTACATGTGCCTGTAGATAATGGAATGGCAAAGCAAACAGCAGTATTCCTAGCGTGCCTACAGCATTTTCACTTGATGACCTAGTGTTTTGTAGGTATTAAATAAAATCACTTTTCAGGTGTTGGCATGATGGGAGGGAAAAGATAAAGAGGGGGGAGGATGATTTTAATGTGACTGTGGTATCAGTTCTGGCAATGCTACATTCTGCAGTGGTGAATGAAGGGGATGGGAGAAAGACTAAGGTACTAGTGTAGAGTGGAAAGCAAAGTAGGGGAGGAAATACAATAGGGGATGGAGAATTCACTTCTTTGGTGCTTTCAAACTACAGTTCAGAAAAGCAATAACTTGACTCTGAAGGTTTGTTACACATTACTAACTTAGATCACTTTGATAGGAGATAAGGGACAGACACCAACAGGGTGCACCCACTGATGCAGGAGGGGAGGTATGTGAGAGGGAAAAGAAAAGGAAAATGTAGCTAGGAAAAGATACGAGTGGAAATAGGATTTATGTGAGAAGAGTTTATTCAAAAGTCATGACTCCCAGTCAAGAAATAAATGCTTTTGGCTGAAAGCCTGCCACAGTTCCCTGATGGAGTAAAGTAGGAATTAGAATAAAACTTTTTAAAGGCAGTATAAAAGGAAATGCAGAAAGTTGCCAACAATTAATGATTGATTTAAGTTGGAGTTGACCATGAGTAGAAGATTACAAAGGAAGCCAGCATAATCTGGAGTAATCCATGACAACTGTAAGGAGGATTTTTTCAAGTATATTGAGAGGAAAAGAAAGCATAATAATGATACTGGAAACTGTCACTGCATGGTGATGGTAAAAAAGCTCATAAGAATGCACAAGGGCTCATGTGCTTGCTAACTTTTTTCTTATTTACTTTTGGAAAGAATATGGACTCAGATCAAATGAAATATGAATATAATAAAATACTGCTTTATACAGTTTTCAGGCTATTTTCTAAGGAAGGGTAGAGTTAGGCAACCTCTTCTGTTTGCCAACAAATGAAAACAGTGAGCCAGATGTTACTCCTGAAATCATTATCTTAGGAAACTTGTGGCATACTTAGGATGCTAACCTTTAATAAATCCCAGCATTGCAGAGATATTCCCCATAACTGATCTTGATTAGTAGTTGTGATTGCAAAATCACTGAATGGGTGTGTTTCTCGAATGGGTCAGAAGAGGCTTTAGCTGGGACCAGTACCAATACTGATACTCTTCAACTTACTTATAAATGATCTAGAAGTAAGGGATTGGTGCAGAGACAAATAATGTTGAGGGCAAGATGGCTATAAAGATCTGGCAAACTCGGCTTACTTAAACAAACTACATTTTGGTGTAGCTACCTTCAAAATTTTGTATCCAAGAGCAGGGAGTGGAAGCCAGACTTTTATTCTGGAAGCTGTGGTTCTGATAGGAAATCCAGGTGCAACCCACTGAACATCAGCTCCCAGTCTGATCCTAAGACTTAAAAGGCTAATTTGATCTGTAGATGTATAAACA